ACGTAGGGGGCCCTCCCCCGCTGCCCGGGACCTTCTGCGCAGGCGCGGCCGCAGCCCTTTGTCCCGGAACCGGCCCTTTCTTTCCTTCTTGTTAATCCTCACCTTTCACCTACTTTTTAGAGAGCGTGGAAGGGAGGGACAGACAGACAGAGAAACGGAGAGGGAAGACACGGATTGGTTGCCTCCAGGGGCGGGGGTGAACCTGCAGCCCAGGTAGTGCCCTTGACCAGGAATCAAACCCGCGCTCTAACCACTGAGCGCACCGACCAGCGCCCTTTGACTAACAGAGTTTGCTGCGGGCCGTGCGCCCTGCGCCCTCTGCCCTCTGCCCGCGAGCGCGCACGTGACGCCCCACGCGGCTCCCCTTTCCCTGGCCCAGCGCAGTGTAACCAGCCTCCTCTGCCCACAGGGAACAATTATTTCAAGCAAAATCCCCAAACCTGTTCACTCAGATCCAAGGCGCTTTTTTGTTGCAGTTTCACCCTTTCTGCATTTTCTGCTTAAGTGAGTAAGCGCAGGTTCCTGCCAGAGAGCAGACGAGAATCTGCTAACCCGAGTGACTGGCTGCTGGGAAGCGGAGATTAAACTTCCACTTTTGTGCCACTTTGTAGCTTTTGAATTTTGTGCAATATGCATGCACTGTCTCATCAGCAAGTCAGATACTTTTTTTTTTTTCAAAAAGTTAACACGGCCTGTTTACTTTTTTTATTGGAATAAAAGTCTCCATTTTAAAAAGTACAGTTCAAGGGCGTTTAGCACAATCATGTGCTGTATAAACAGCACTCCTTCTAATACGAAACGTTCTCATCACCCTGAAAGGACGGTGTCACTCCGGCAGTCACTCACTCCCCTCCCCCACCTGGGACCACCCTCTGTTTTCTGTCTCTGGATTCGCCTGTTCTGGGCATTTCATTAAATGGAATCACAGTATGAGACCATTTGTGTCTGGCTTCCTTCACTGAGCATAGTATTTTTGAGGATAATCCACGCTGGAGTTCATAGCGGTGCTTCATTCCTTTCGAATAATATTCCATCATACGGATGGGCCACGCTTGTTTATCTGTTGATTAGCTGATGGACATTGAGGCTGTTTCCTCTTCTTGGCTGTTGTGACTAATGCTGTTGTGGACGTAAGTGTGCATGTACTTGTCCAAGTCCCTGCTTTCAGTACCGTTGGGTAGAGACCTAAGCGTGGAATTGCTAGATCATACAGTAACTCTACGGTTGACTTTTTCTTTAATATATTTTTATTGATCTCAGAAAGGAAGGGAGAGGGAGAGAGAGAGAATCATTGATTGGCTGCCTCCTGCACGCCCCCTTCTGGGGATTGAGCCCACAATCTGAGTATGTGCGGTTGACGGGAATCAAACCCGAGACCCTTCAGTCCACAGGCTTACTCTATCCATTGAGCCAAACCAGCTAGGGCAGCGGTTCTCAACCTGTGGGTCGCCAACCTGTGGGTCGCCAACCTGTGGGTCGCGACGACCCTTTCACAGGGGTCACCTAAGACCATCGGAAAACACATATATAATTACATATTGTTTTTGTGATTAATCACAATGCTTTAATTATGTTCAATTTGTAACAATGAAAATACATCCTGCATATCAGATATTTACATTACGATTCATAACAGTAGCAAAATTACAGTTATGAAGTAGCAATGAAAATAATTTTATGGTTGGGGGTCACCACAACATGAGGAACTGTATTAAAGGGTCGCGGCATTAGGAAGGTTGAGAGCCACTGAGCTAGGGCTATGGTTGACTTTTTGAGGAAAAGTTAAAACATTGGTTTCCACAGTGGCTCCATTTTACATTCCCACCAATGATGCACAAAATTCTCCACATTCTTGCCAACACTTTTATTTTGCTTCTTAAAAATTATTACAGTCATTCTACTGGATGTGAAGTGGTATTTCACTGTAACTTTGTTTTGCCTTTTCCTAATGACTAATGATATTGACTGGTTGCCTTTTGCAAAATATTTCCTCTTGGTTTCAACTCCTATGACTCGTCTGCCTCACTCACTCCTTCCCAACCACTGCCTGGTTCCTATTCCTTGAAGCTGCAGCACATCCTGCCTCAGGATCTTTGCACTGGCCGTTCCCTCTGCGAGGAAGACTCGCCCTCCAGAGCCCCACTTGGCCCCTCCCTCGCCTCCCCCTCAGGTTTTCTCAAACATCATCTTCTCCCAGGACCTCCCCTCACATGGCCGCCCTTCCCACCCACATTTCCTGCGTCTGATTTTTCTCCTTAGCTTGTAACACTATCAAGTGCAACTGCATTTTTGTTGCATTAGCTAGCTGTCTACTTACTTGTCTCGCCTCAACAGAATGTGAACTACACCAGGGCAGGGATTTGTATCTGTCTTGGTGGCCGCTATCTCCCCACAGCCGGGCCCCAAACCAGCTCTCAGGAAGTGTGGCCTGTAGGGCTCAGCTGCCTGTGCACACTCCCTTCCTCGTGCTGAACCCACGCTGTCCTGGGAGGCCTTGTCCGCTCCCACGACGTGGCCTCCTTCACTGGCCTCTCCCTGTCCTCCCCCAGTCCTGACCAGTCTCCTGCTCCCACCTGGACCTTTCCCCTGTGCATCCCACAAGCCCCCTCACACTCAGCAAGTGCCAGACTGAGCACAGGTCATCCCCACGCATCTTGTTCTCCCATGTCCCCATCCCAGGGAGGCCCCACAGCCACCCAGCCCTCCGGCCGCACTGCCACTCAGCCACAGGAGACCTGGGCGCCATGCTTACTCTTTCCCTCCACACACGCTCCACCCACGTCCCAACAGTCACCAAAATACCCCTTGAACCCATCCAGTTCTTCCAGCCCACAGCCCCCTCCATAAGGAACCCCCATCTCTCACCTGGACCCCAAGTCCCTGCTGCCCCCAGGCCTGCCTTCCCACAACACCCCAAGAGATTCTTTAATGCCCACACCCAATCACAGCCCTCCTTGCTTAAGACTAGGGTGCAGGGGTTGGTGTGCCCCCCACCCCCAACTGGAGACACTGTTCCTCCCCAGAAAAAAAATCTAAGCCAAGCTCTGGGCCTGCAGAGCCTGCCTGAGCGACGGGTCCCTGGCCACCTTGTAACAGCCCCCTGTGTGCCTGGCCCTGCTCAGGCACCAAGGGCACAGCCGTGAACTTCGCAGACCCTGCCCAGCCCTCCCAGCGTCCTCCACCATCTGGTTAGGGCTGAGCTTGACCTTTGAGAAGGAGATAGGAGCTGGCCTGCTGTTCCCCGCTGACCTTGGCATTGCTGAGCGCTGGCCTGGCAGTCACAGCAAGGCCCTGGTGTTCTCCCGCTCCTGCCAGACATCGGTGCTTTCACAGAGCCATCATCGGACAGGGCACGCAGTGACCAGGGGAACAACACAAAATAAGGCCATTCGTCGTCGTCTGACAGGCAAAACGTGAGCACTGCCCAAGAGCAACAGCGGCCAGAGACACACACTCGCTGCTCCTTGACCAATCCCAGCTTGGTTCCTGCTTCACTCCTCAGACTGCTGGGTGCAAATTAAGGTCCTCAATAACAGCTCCTTCTCCCCTGCTTCCTGCAGCACCAGGATGCAACTCATGGGCCCTACTTTCCTGCAGGCAGGGGACTCGGCTGGCCTGTGCACTTGTACCAGCCAGGCTGCACCAAAGCCCTGTTGATGGGGCTCAGTGCTGGGGGCAGCTGATGGGACCTTAACTCAGTGAACACAACAATTAGCTCAAATTTAGTGAAGAGGGACCCACTCGGTAAATGAGTCCTGGAGACCCAGGACTCATTACTCAGCACAGGAGTTACAGCAAAACTGTACCATAAACATTAAACTTGTTCAGAGACTAGATCTTGTTCCCAGATTAGAAGAAATTACAGTGATGTGAGACCGTAGGGGTGTTAGCGACAATGGCAATCACAATGCAATGTAAGTGATTCAGATCAATAGGTTGTAACCCTTAAACTTCCATAATGTTGCATGTCAATTATATCTCAAAAAAAAGGACCAATTCAGTAGGTGATTGGGGTATGATGAACTCAGACGGGTTTACTACATTTATATCTTTATTTCATGTTTATCTTCTTTCCTTTTACAAATTTTTTATTGTGGTAAAATATACATACAATATACAATTGCCATTTTAATCATCTTTAAGCGTCCAGTCAGTGGCATTAAGTGCATTCACACTGTCCAGAGCTTTGCTGTCATCCCAAACTAAAGCTCTGTCCCCCTTAAACACTAACTCCCACCCGGCCGGCGTGGCTTAGGGGTGGAGGGTCAAACCTATGAACCAGGAGGTACGGTTTGATTCCGGTCAGGGCACATGCCCGGGTTGTGTGCTGGGGCATGGAGGAGGCAGCCAATCAATTATTCTCTCTCATCATTGATGTTTCTATCTCTCCCTCTCCCTTCCTCTCTGAAACTACAAAAAAAAAACAAAAACAAAACAAAAAAAAAACAACACTAACTCCGCATCCCCTCTTTCCTGCTGTATACATTCTTTTTATTTGTCAGATCTTCCAAAAAAAGGAAGTCAAACCTCCAACCAGTAAAAGCCTGCGATGCAGAGCAGAGCCCCACTTCTTCCTTTCCTTTTCTTTTTTCTTTTTGTTAATCCTCACTAGAGGATCTTTTGTTGA